CGCACCTTTGCTCGAGTCGTTTTTTGCCCTCTCATGCCTCTTGGGGTGAGGTGGGAAGTTGCTGTTAGTCCTGTTTTTTTTTGGGGATAACAGCCTTGAAATTAAAAAAAAAGAAAACATCTCTATTTTAATAATAAATGTGTAGAGGAAAGAAGGGGAGGGGTAGGATGGGAGGATGCTGGTTATTGTTGGTGAAGTTATTGTATTTGCACCGACTGTCAAAATTCACTTGAGAACGGTTTAATAAAAAAAAAGAAACTGAGGAGTTTCTCTTAGGGGAAGACATTTCTCAAAGAGACGCATTTCATGCTTTCTTGTTTGTCCTCATTTTGTTTGAACTTACTAGGGAAGCGGTTACCTTAGCCAGCACATTTAGCTTTAATTTCAGATGGGACCTTTTTTTTTTCAATATTAAAGAGGACAAGTTTTTATCGTTTTTTTGTCTTGTTTTTTCAGAAGGCTCGTGACAATTTCGACGCAAATTTATTTGCTTCCAATATTTTTTCTCTCATTATTTTTATGGTCGGATACTACATCTCATGAAGCGGGATTTGCACTGCTTACGTTCCTATCTGGACAGTTTTTCTCTCATTTATGTTGTACTTATTATGATAATACTTAGATTGATGAGAAAATAGTAATGCAATAAACTTAAATTCAGCGCTGTGTCATGACACCATATACACGTGTAAATATATTTATTTATAAATAAATATATGCGTAACCCTCTGCGTATATATATATCTATCTATCTATGGCCACTGATGTATGCCTAGTTATGTTTTTTTTTGTATTGAATGACTAATCCAACGTCTATCTAAAATTCCATCACTTTTACCAGAGTTCTTCATTTTAACAATATTGTTCGATTTAGCCTCTTTTTTAAAAAGGGTTTAAGACCCACTAAAATCCCGGAAAGGGTAACAATAAAAAAAAGCGTATGGGTGAGTCTTGGAATAGAATATCCAAAAGCGTATTTCGCATACACTGCTCTAATTTAAATGTCTTAATCGGACAACTTCAGAAAGCTACCTCTTCCTTTGAAGTGTTTATGTCTACATATATATCTATATAACTATGGGTATGAGCCAAGCAATTTCTCGTTTCTTTTTTTCACTGAAATGTGGCAACTTGGATGATCTCTTTTTCGATGCTCTTGTATTTCCACCACAACGCGGTATGTAATTACCATCGGTGTTATTGGACGTGGGTTTGACAATATCCTGATAGCCATTCTTCACAATTCTCTATTTTTAAGAGTGCCGGGCGGAAGAAGTCTCGCGCATTAAATCTGCACTGACATTTGCCTTGGTAACCAGTGCATGGGTACTTTTTTTTTCACAAATCCCAACCGCATCAGGCTTTCTGCCCATGGCAGAAAGTTCAAAAGAACGATGTCTTGTACACCGAATCCATGGGCAGTGCCATATTTTTTCTAGGTTATGATTATTTTGCGTAAGCACCTTTGTATCTCTTATTCATTGAATACTTTAGATAGGTGAAATAACTGTGTAGAATAAGTCTATGTAATAATCCTTAGTTTTGCATTGCAAATTTATTTTTATTTTACTTTTTTTTCTTTTCTCTTCCTTTTTTTTATTCCAAGACTATGTAGTATCATACAGAAAAATCTTTATTTTTCGTATAAAATTCTATTATATACGGATTACATCCTCCTTAGAGTTTTTTATTTTATTTTTGTAGAACCTAAGAAAAAAAAACTTATCCATATGCTTTGTCCCTTATCCGATACGTTAATACCGTCCGCGCGAAGTGATGAACTGGACGGCAAAAGCCCGTCCAAGTCCTCCCCATCCTCGCGGATCGACGGCGCCGAGGATGGACGGCTCAATGCGGCGGAGGATGTCTGCCCCTCCCTGACGGGGACGTCCCCGGTGACGGTGGTGGACAACCCCGATATCACCATCGCCTTGCGCTTCGAGGAGGCGGGCCCGGGGGGGGAAAGCGGGGAGGGGCCAGC